CCATCTCCTCTCGACGAATCGCCTCTCGAGAGGAATCTCCTCTCCGTCGCCTGCGGAGAACACGAGAGAAAAGAGAGAAAGAAGTTTCGAGAATGATTTTTTTTTCCTCTCCCTTGTCTCGGTCCAATCGTAACTTGACACGTGTCCAGCCGAACCCGATCCAATTAACTTAGTCTATTGATCCGTTTCTTTTAAAAAGAAGCCCAAATCCAATTGTTTATTATTTTTTCTTGGATTGAAACCAATCTAAAATCATGGTTAAACATACTCTTAGGAGCTTCAAAACCCAATTTGGTATAACAACATTAACCCGTCAACTTGACCTGGTATAATCGGTTAGACCAGTTCATCATGTCTGTTTTGATTTCAAAAACATTGGTGAACCGTACAATTCGGGTTTTCAACGAATCATATCCGGTTAACTTTAGTCGCGGTTTGTGTTGGGCCTTTTGGGCTATACCATATACTTCATGGGCCACTTTTCTTCGCCTCTGTGAAAATGAAATTAGACGGAAGTTTTTTTTTAAACGGCAGACGGAACGTTTTATACGAACTGTTAAAAAAAATTAACAACCATAAAAAAAATTGCAAAGAGATTTTGTATACTAAAATTTTCACATTAACAAAAACTAATCAAAGAGAGACAAATAGTTAAAGATCTTGGAAGAACAAACAAACGAATTTGCTTAACAACTAATCTAGCAAATTACCCCCACTAACAAAATATTTAACGTTTCCTAATCCTAATAGATCAATTTTAACCATCTACCATACAATGATAGGGTTAAAAAAAAAAACGGCAGGGAGGCCAAACGCTTTACAAAACGGCATCGTTTTTTCATTTCCCACCTAAAAATAAAACTCCGAAACGACTTCTTTGATTATTCCGCCGGTAACGACTCCGACCGCCACGAAAACAGCTCGCCGGAATCAAAACAATCGTCGGAAAATTCGAACAGCCCCTCAACAGCGACGTAATCTCCGGCTTCTCCGACGCCGGAAACGAAATCTAAAGATCCGTAATTCGACACGTGGTCCTCAAACCCCCATAGCTCGTCGATTCCGGACGAATCCGACGACGCTCGTACCAAATCGTTTAACGTCTCCGTCGTTTCGTCCTCTTTCACGATTTGAGTCGGAGAAACCGACGGAGGCGGTGGTAAGCCAAGCTCGTCGTCGGAAGCTTCTAGAAGATAACCGAGATCCGGCTGAGTTTCGGCGACCGTGGTGGTAACCGTCGCAGCGGATAACTCGACTTCGAAACTCTTCATAACCGAGTCGAGATCTTGACTCACTGGTTCAGGATCCGAGTCATCGAGAACATCGAATAAATCATCTCTTAACCTCTTCACCTCCGGCGAGTTGAGAACCGTTTCGTCAGACTCGTCTCTGACTCGCTTTTTATCGGTCGAGTCAGCTGAGTCAGTCCGAGTTAGCCTCTCTTCCTCCATAAGCTTAACAACAACGCTTTTTTTTTATTTTGTTCGGTGAAATCTTTTTTTGTTTCAGTGGCAATATTGAAATTAGTGAGAGATAGAGGTGCAGAATGGGAAGAAGGGAACACAAGGTTTTATAGTAG